TTTGACTGGGACACTGACTTCAAATTCTTCAAATTCTTGTCTCTGTGTCCCACCCTACCCATCACGGGCGGGCGGGCTCGGGTGCATTGCTGGCGGTGGTGGCAGCCACAGGACCACAGACATGCAAAAGACGCAAAAACAAGTCTCCCAAAACCTTGACGCGATTTCGTGTTTTTACAGGAAAACGAATCCAGATCTCAGCAGCACCTAATTCCTGTACATAAGTCTCGAGCATACGAAAGGATTTCCAGCGACCTCGCCACTGAACACGAATCAGGTCTTCTGACCACAGACGAAACAGGTAGGTGGCGCCACCGGGCCTCAGTGAGCTTGGCAAAAACGCGACCGTAGTCAGCACTTCACGCTGCACCAAGTCCAGCCTGGTTTTGAAAGAAGCCACAGAGCCGCACCAAAGCTTCCGCCACATCGGCATCGAGCCGAAGATCGTCTGCACCCAGCCGGCGATGCCGGCCTCGTCGAGGCGCACATGTTGCGCCGCAGCTGCCCGAAAACGAGTTTTCGGCTGGGAAACTCGAATGTAGATCACATTGTCGCCCCAATGGTCTTGCGGGAGAGACAGATCTTGTCGTCGCAAACCTATAAGCTCTGAGGGTCTCAATAATCCAAAAAAGCCCAGTACCAGCAACGCCGCAAAGTGCGGCCACTGCCATGCCATGGCAGTACCCGCAAGAGCATAGAGCACTTGCACCGGCATAGGCGGGTGATGAGTGACTGGCTCCAACATGTCCCATGTCTTGAGTACGCTCCAAGGCGCGGCAAGAGAGGATCTGAGCCAACCAAACTTTTGGACCACCACATTCAGAGTCTCGGCTGCTGACCTGCGGCTCTGACCATCCAGATATAAGGTGACCATATATTCTTCGAGCCACTCGGACAAAACATCGATGTGATGCCGAGCCAAATCCTCCAAAGTAACCTCGGGCAGTTGAGTTGCCAACCAAACCTCCAGTTTGGTAAGCAGGTCCTGTCGGATGCTCTGAGTACGGGCCGTCACACGACCTCGCTCGATCAAAGCACGGTCTCGCACCTGCATCTGAGGAGGTCTGGGAGCTCCGCTCACCATTCCGCAACAACAAAGAACCAGCCAGAAGAAACCAGCGGTTGTAGGCCCGTGGCAAGCCCTGCAACTCATCTAGCTGAATCAAAGCCTCGCGGGCGCCAGTCCGCAGCTTCCAAAACCAAACTGGTAGGGGGGTGCGTGCGCCTAACACCTGGTGATTTCGGCTTGGGCCATCCGCTCTTAGTGACCAAGTAGGGAAATGAATGCTAGACACATGCAAGTTTTTACCTAAAATGTACGGAGCTTCGGAGCGCATAATTCGATTGAGGGAAGCGGAGGGGCTCCGCCCTTTGCCCAAAGATCCAATGTTCACACGACTGTCCTGAGCAACCACAACCCTTTTGTCACGACCTAACCTTTTAAACAAGGTTCGCCGCGCTTTAGTTTCCTGCAAATTAATGTGTTCTTTTTGGCGAAACTAGTATTTGATCCAAGGTTTCCACGTCAAACCTTCTGACAGCTGCACGGCCCACAAGGCCGAACCTCCTTTCCGCTTCCGCCGTTGGCGCGGGGCCAAAGTTGAGTCAACGCGTTGACAAAAATGAGAAGTGTTCCGATCTCCATCCCCCGCACAAAGCAAACCTTCAGGGGCATCCATCCCAAACGGATTGGGGGGGGGACACAACCAGGGCCCATTGCACAAACACGTCAGCCACGCGGTCACAAAAGGAGTTCGAGTAGACCCCCCAGTTGGTGGTATTTTCCCCTTTCACCCCTTTCGCAACCAAGTGTCGCTGTTGAACCTGGTGACAACATCGCAAGCCCAGCCGCCGCACAGGCGGAAAGTTAGAAATTAACTTAGTCGTTTTCCTACAGCTCTGGCCAAAGCGGCACCAGTCAAAAAGCAGCTCAAAAACACCTGTCATCGTGGTCAAATGTATCCAAGGAGGGAAGGCTTTCAAACAGCCTCTGGCAGGAGTTTCTCCTGTCATGAAATTTCCGACCGCCATTTGAACACCTGCCAGCAGGATGCACTGGCAAACATGAAGGTTGCCTTCTACCACACGTTCAGTCAACACGTCAAAACCCCATGGGTCATCCAGCGATCTCACTTTAGGGGTCCTAGCCAAAGAAAACGTAGTACGGGGGGGGGGGCCCACCAAAGAAACTTCACTTTTCTCGCTTTAATAAACGACATCAACCCAACAAACGCTTGAGGATCCATAAAGCTCCAACCCTTTTTCAAATCCAAAGGCGGGAGAACACGCAACCGTTTCCTTATCCAAGATTGAGACATTTGACCACATTCGGCGGAGATTTCCAACAGATCAAAAGGCTCTTCGGACAGAACCAGCGCAGGAGACTCTTTCCTGAGACAGTCAAGAAATCCATGCTCCCAATCGCACGCTTCTCCCCCGCCCCCAATACTCTCATCAGAGCTTGAGTCCCACAGATCTTCCTCATTATGACCGCTACCCTTCAAGGTAGACTGCAACCGTGTCAGCAGAGGCATGCGGTACCCCACCTTGTCTCCTCGACGCCAGACCTCTTCCGACACCATTTCCCCCACCTCCACCCGACAAACACCCGCCCCAGACGGAGACGCATCGACGCAGTAGAGAAAGGGGTCCGGGAGAGCGCGGGCGTCGCAAATACAAAGGGGAGCGCAACAGGCCAGAACCCAAAGTTCGTTTCGGGCGCCGGGAGACAATTTAAACAGCTCACCAGGGTCCCCCGGGGAAAGTTGGTGGTAAATTTCGTACATGAAAGAAAACAGGGGTCTGCGGAACTGTAAATTGAAAGCCCACAGCCCTGTGATCGCCTCAATCATTTTTTCATCCACTGGCCCCGCTTCAGTCATCAAGACCGAAAGTTGAGCCAGCTTGAGCAGTTTGTTCCGGGCTGGTCCAATGAGCCCTGCGATGCCTTCCACCTCGGCACCCCATACTCGTGCATGAAAAGCTCGTCGAACTTCCTTGCCTTCATGGGTTCGGAGCTTAACCGAATTATAGGCAGAACCTGCCTGAGCAAAAGCTTCCACGTCTCGACCAGGCTGGGAAAGAGTTTTCTCAACGCTGCCTTTCCAAGGCAACAACTGTTCCCCCAGGTGGTCATCAATCATGATGCCCTCATAGAAACCACTTTCGGGTTTTGGGATAGGTTGTCTATAGTTCAGGGTTTCGTCAGGGAGAAGAGCGCCCCTACTGCGTAACAAGTTCACATGACTTTCTTGAGCTATGTCAACCGCAGCATGGTCGCCCATCCCCAGACCCCGAAAACAACACACCAACTTGTCATGTTTCGTGATCCGATTGGCTGCCAGAGCTGCCTTTGCAGCGTTCAAATGAGCCACCTCACCCCACCGCAAAATTGGCCCGACTGGGCTGCTCCGAGCCCTCGCTTCTGTAGCTTCATAGGCGTGGTAGAAGTCACGAATGTCATCAACAGAACAAACACAAACCTTGTCCTTTCCCAGAGGCAACTGAGTCAACAAAACACCATGAGGAAGGTTCCGTGACTCTCCTACCACATGATACTCTCTTTTGTTCCTACGCTTCCTGTGCAAAATTTGACGGTCTTTATCCATATCTTTAGCAACAGCAAAAAGCTCACACCTATCCAAAGAGCAAACTTCATCACTGCGACACACAAACAACCGGTCCAAAACATCCCAACGAGAAAAGACTTTTAACAATTCTGCACGGGTAGCGGTGCCCTTTATGTGCATCGGCGGTGGCATGTCTTCCGGGGCTTTGAGGATCACATCGGGGTTCTCATAAATCTCCCGAAACTTTTCTGACAAATAAGGCCTTGGGTCAAAGTTTGACACCTGAGAAGGGAGACTGAGCCTCTCAGCAACCACTGGAAGTGCCTTGGTGGCAGCAAAAGCTGCGTCTGAACTTTTCTCGCCAAACGATCTCTTTGAACGGGCATACGGCAAAACATCACACGCACTTAATTCAGATCTCAGCTGGTTCAGATGATCTTTCACAGCTGGTAGCCGGAGGCCGCATCCAAGCTCCGGGGAACTCAGGCGAACCATCGAGCGACTCAGCTTCAGGAGGAAATCTGTCATCTCCCTCTGTGCCACATTGAGTGGAACTCCACTCCTCCCTCGTGCCGGGGCAACCTTCACTCCCAGAGCTTGATGGCTAAGAGCGCAGACCATGAGGTTGGTCCACAATTCAGTCGCCCTCCGAGCGCGGAACCTGGCTGCCCTTCTCCGGGATCGTCCTCGAAGCGACATGTTGTCATTTCTCCAAGGGAAAGGAGGCGGGCAAGGAAACAACTCCTTCTTTGAAGTTGGTGGTGGTGGAGCTGCGCTACTGGTAAAAGTGCTAATCACATAGCAGGAGAAAGGCAAGGAAGACCGCCGCATAGAATCCAGAAGGTCTTCCAACCAAGACGCAATTTGGTAGTCTTGGCCTTTGGAAAAAGTCGTAGTGCTTTCGTTCTTCAGCTCAAGGTCTTCGTCTTGAACTTTCACTCCCCTTTGTCTTTTTGCCTGTCGTCTTTGTTCTTTTGCTCGCCTTTGCCGCCCCCTTTTCCTCTCTTTTTCAGCAGCCATTCTTCTTCCTTCAGCTCGTTGATGATCGCTCCAATCCATGTCGCGTCCATCAGTCGCGTGTAGATGTACTGCTTTCGGATTGAGGGAAGGTCTTGACTGGCCCAATGGGCCCACGGCGGCTCTTCCACACCTGTCAGGCGGCTTGCCACTCCCCAGCTTTCGTCCAACAAAAACTGTTCCATGGCTGCCATCATGCGTACAGTGTGAAGGCGGGCTTGTCGAGCCTTTCCTTCCAACATCAGCTTGTGAATGGTCGCAAAGCCTGTCAGAGCATACCCGGCAGTTCGAGATCGCCCAACCGGGACTGACTGGGTGAACTTTTCGGGGATGGTGGGACCCATCTCCTCTGCTCCTACAGCACGCTGCATTCGCATCTCCATTCTCTCCAAATAGGCTCCAGGGTTTTGCTTCATGGCCGCTCGAAGCTTTTCCACCGCCTCGATGGCTTTGCCTCCTCGGCTGGTGGAGGACCAAGTCTCTCCTCCTTCTTCTTCTGAGGAACTGCCGATGCCCCCTATCAAGCCCGGCAACTTTTTGCTCTTCTTGCTTGTCTTTCCCTGAAGGTCCTTGAGTAGCTTCAACATACTGAGCTTCATCATGTCGTCCACAGAAGGCGTTGAAGACGACGCAGCCATCTCTTCTTCCACCAAGCTGACTAGCTCCTGCGCTGTGGCGCGAGCTGCAGGTTCGTCTAAGACTTTGCTGGGACGAGGCCCAACCTCTTCTTTCAAAGCCTTCAAAATGTCGGCCCAATCTTTTTCTTCTGACTTTTCGACCACCTTCTTCCCAGGCTTGTCCTTTGCAACTGTGCTTTGGTGAAGATTGGAAGGTTTGCTGTCTACTTTTCTCTGCAGCTGGTCCATGCGGCTTTCCAGTTTTGCCAAAGCAGTGAGCACTTGGTCTAAGCCCTGAGGCTCCGGCACTGGAGCTTCTTGGGCGGTTTGCCATCCCGTGTCTCGAAGTGACCCGCTCATTACCCAGCCTTCCACCGCATCGTCGAGCTCCGCAAAGTTGGGGAGGTCCTGGCTGTCCGCAAACCTTTTGTGCTGGCGACGGCTGCGAGGCGCCCTTCTTTCCAGGCTGTGTCTGACATCCAGAGTGAACTCTACCAACTGCACCTCGATGATCTGATCGGAGTTTTCCTGCAGACTGACTGTAACCTGAGCATTTGGGCCCATCAGGTCGTCGGCTGCGGCCTGTTGGCCCCTTTCCAGATCCTCCTCTGGAATGGCATCTCCCGGCACAGCCAGGATAATTCCTGTGCTGCTGACTCGACAAGGCAAGCAGATCGCCCACGCATCGCTGTCTGCGGGCCACTTGAGAAGAAGGACATCGACTTCGTCTCCTCGAGGGTTGACACACTTCAGGGTCTTCAAGGCTCTCTCGGCAACCGGCATGTTGCTCCTGCCAAGTATGCTCCACCTGCGGCGAAACTGGCAAAGGCTGTTGACACAGGGCTGTGACGATCAGGCGCTCTAAGTCTCTCCTGGAGCTTGACAGCTCAGAAAACAGCTTGCACGTTCTTGGTGTACCAAGTCCAATCGTGTCGGAAGAGTCCAGGTTGGAAATCAAGAAGGGCTGCTGTCCCGTCTTGTTGCTTTTCAACCTCACAGGCCTGTAGGGTATTTCCCCACGCAAGCCACTTTCCAGCACCGTCAGCCTGTCGCTCCAGAAACAAAAGATCCCCAGTGCGACAAACACTGAGATCCGGATCTGGGTTCTCCGGCTCACCCCCTGAAACTTCGTCCCAAGTATTCTGATCACCAGTTTGAGATGAAGGTGCAAGTTGGTCGTGATGGGGGTATGTGATGTGTCCTGAGGGTCTTGCAGGTGGCTTTCACGTGCCCTCACGCACGGTAGCGCAAGAGGCGGTCTTGCCCCACCAAGCCGCCCTCACGCGGTCTGATCTCTGCCTCTTGCAGCAAAAAGACCAACAAGCGCGTTCCAAACCACTGCAGTCGAGGACTCAGGCAAATTGCCACCACACAGCCACCAAGGCAGCACCCAATGCACAAACAAGTGATAGCCAGAAGTAGGATTTCAGCAAGTCGAAAAGGGTGATCGCACAAACCCAGGACGGGGCTCACTACACTCAAAAAATCTTTGAGCATCCAAACAGAAAGCTACAAACAACACATGTTGACTGCCCTTCCATGAAAACAATGCCGTTCCATGTAGGAGAGCAAAACAGTTTGTATCGTCCTTGAAAACCAATGGTATTCACTTCAATTCGGACCCAGAGAATTTGGGAAGATGTATGGACCTCCAACTGGTACCCCTGCATGGCTCCCCTCCTTTTGTCTCTGCCTTTTCTCTCTCCACGCATAGCAGCGCGTCAGCACAGCTGGCGGCGACGGCAGAAACTGACAGAGGGGGGGGTCAGTCTGCCCATCAGATCTGGAAGCTCGGCAGATCCGCTCGGCAGGGGCAGTGCTCCTGCGCATCCGAGTCCTTCCAATAGGGGCGCCCATAGAGCTGCAGCCTCAGACTGATGAAATTGGCCGGCGCTTCGCCAGGGCTCCGTTGATTGTCTTGGACTTCTTCATGGATAAATCGCCGGAAGGTGGGATTTGGATTCGTGTCATGCTTTTGGAGGGAAGTGTGAGCTGTTCTTATCGTGTTGAGCAAGGCAGAGGGCACGGTTGCGTGAGCGGTCTTTTTTCTGGCTTGAGGGGAAGGGACAAACTATATATCGTGTCCCCAGTGGTAGTCAAAACAACCTGTCTTTGTCTGAATGTTCCTCAAGAAACTGAAGCTTCCCAACTCCCAAATACCGCCCTGGCACTCACCATGCACCCCAAACCATCATTGATCCGTTTGGGCAACGCCTTTTTGATTCACTCGGCATCTAGCAATAAAGGCACTGCTGGGGTGGGGTCACAGTGCATATAAAACAATTATAAACCTGCCAACTGCAGATGAGGGGCATTGACTCTGCATGGCGCCCTTCCCACACTAAACTAAACATGCATGCGAGTCTGCACAGGGCGGGGAGTCTTTTGAGTTGCTGTTGCACGACCCACAGTAGGAGAACGAAGGTACCTGTAACAGTTCTGGTGTGTTGCATAAGTTCTGAAGGCCATGACAATCAACGGCCCTCCGCTCAGGCTCAGATGGGTGAGCCCCTTCCGCTCTGGTTTGGATGGAAGAAACCCGCCACCGCCAAACACTCACCGCGTGAGCCGCCTTCCGCCAGTCTGCAGACAGGCTGCGAGATCAGCTCCTGATGCTCCACGAAAATCCGCCTACTCCAAGGCTGAGGGCTTTCCAGGTGCCACTCCTCAGCTTGATGGCTCTGCAAGAAGCTTTGGTCCATCATGTCTGGATGTCTGGGGTTTTCGCAAGGCCAGGCCTTCCGACACCCTTCCGGCACGGACTTGTGTCCGACTTGTGCGACTTGTGCTCACTGTGCTCTGACCGGCCCCGTCGGGCGGGCGGCCAACGATCCCAGGAGGCAGTCCACCAGCACCGTCGGACGGATTGGCTGGGTCGAGGAAGAAGGGCGAAAAGGTGTTCAGCTTCTGCGAGAAAAGCAGCACAGGACTGGCAACACCAAGATGCCGGCCTTGAACCGTGGCGGTTCAAGGGAAGTTCAGGTGGATAAGGGGTCCAATTGTCCAGTCGGCACAAAGACATCAGTTCAGCTTAGGGTTACTTCATGTGATTTCCCCTGCTCCACATCTTGCTTTATCCACTGAGGTCCTCTCGGTCTCGCTCCAAGAGTCGCTGGGAGACACCAGGCGCGCTTTCTCCGTCAAGACTTGTGGGAAGACCTGCAAAGACGTGGAAGGCGTTTCCAAGGGACCCGGTCTGACCCGAATCCACCGGCTCGGACCCTTTGGGGTATCCTAGCACTGCTAACATGGAAAACGAGCTTGGCCGAGCTCTGTTTCTGTGTCCGACGGCAAGTGCCGGAAACGGGGGAGAGGAATGTGAGATGAATGTCGCGTCAGCAGCTACAGCTGCCCATAGCTCCTTCACCTGTTCCGTTTGACAAGGCATGCAAAAACAATATCCCCCAAGGCCGTGTTTTTGTTGACCGCAGTAGATGTCACATGATTCAGCAGATCTCGTGTCCAGCGTATTAATCACATGGTCCAAACTCAGAACTCTCACCGCCGACTGGCCGAGCTTCCCCCCAATGCAAGCCGGATCAATCCCGTGTTGCTGACCGACTGCCTGCTGCGGTGCTGAGAAGTTCACTTCCATCTCCACAAAGTCCTCATGACAAGGTCGAATGGATGACGCGAAGCACTAGTGACTATAGTGGATGACGTGTGTTGCGGCTGAAGACCAACTCACTGGGGACGTCCTCCAGCTATTCATTTGACCCTTCAGGACACGCGTGGAACCTCGCTTCGCTGGACCGGAAAATGAATGACACTGCGACGAGGACACCGACTAATTCATCTTCAGTGAGTACACCTTCACTATGGAGAGTTTCTGTTGGTCTCTGCACATTATGAGCGTACTCAGTCAGCTTCAACCCGACGTGCCCGGGAAAAAGGAGATGCAAAAAGAGGTATCACCGAACACTGTGCATGTTCCGCGAGAAATGACTCCAGTCAGATTGTCAAGGGAGGATTGACTCTTTCGTCATCTATCACATCCGCCACTGAGATTGTGGCCATGCCGGATAAAACTGTTAGAATTATACAGCGGAATCGGAATCTTTAAAATGTTCGGACACTTCCCTACAACATCCTAAAAAAAGACGCAAATCCCACCAGGCAATACCAAGGTGCTTCCAACTGCTTCGGACTTGAGCTCCAGAACTCAGGGCTGTCGGGGGGTGGTCAAAGCAGTTGCAGCTCGGTCAGAGTCCCAGTTGGACACCCCCCCAGAGCCCATCAGCCCAGTCCACTCGGTGTCTGACTGCCAAGGCTCGAATTCTCCGAACCACTGGGCACCTCGACTTCTCAATGCCTGGCAGGTCAACGGTTTCACTCCATCCCTATATCCAGGTAGGCCCTAAGGGCAAGCTAGCAACCGGTGAGGTCGGAGAGGGGAGTCAGAAAGGGATCCTCTCATCCTCTCTGAAATTCCACGGCCCCACGGCTGGCCTCCGCAGGATAGGTCAGGCAGGAGAGTCCTCCCCCTTCACAGGGCAAGATGCTGCACGCCTCGCAAGATGTTTTCATAAGAGGCTAGCGGGGGACCAGTGAGAAACCCACGAGGTATCAGTTCCAGCTGAACTGGTACAGTTACAGAATAGAGAGCAGGAGTTTCAGAGCCCTTGGAAAAGAATACCACCTATATAGTTTAAACCAGTCCATCATCAATGCTAGGTAGCATCTTCCGATCCACGTCGTGGTTTTTGATGCCCCTTGTGGGAAACTGATAAACTCGTTGTTTGCAAATTGCATATTGAAATAAATCGAAATCAGGATGTCAAAGAGACTCCCACCTTGACAAGCCACACCGGCAGCTGGCATATTTAAAGAACGGCTGTTCATAACTATTACCAACCAATGGCCCTTCAATGGGCCGTAGCAACATTCACCCCACCAATCCTCGGCGCCTCAGCAGCCCAGGGCGCCACTTGCGGAGACACGTCCAAACCGTTCCTTGGTCATACTGACGAGCCAAAGGGTGCTTCCAAAAGAAGGTGGATGAATGATTGGTATGAACAATGAAACAAGCCCTCGAGCACCTGGTGTACTTCGCCGAGCCGCAGCAGTGCCACTGCATAGCCCGCGCCTGCCCTGAGGCTCCGGTAGCGCAAGCGGCAGCAGGTGGCTAAGCCAGCACTGCACAGCAGGCCTTGGCCAAAGTATGGCCGGCCAATAGGCAGCCACTGATGGCGCTGCTGCTTTTCAAAGAGCAGCTCACCCCCAAAAGAAAGGAATTTTGAAGGAAAACCCATCGCAGCTCAACTGAAAAGAACATCCATCGGTCCTTACCAAAAGGGCTTCACCAGAAAAGGCAACTTTATCCAAAGCTGGGTTTGGAGCGCTCTACCAGCACTGCTTGCTTGCTTGCAGAAAGCACACCACAAAGTTTGAGTAGAGTGAGAAGCAAGCGGTTCCCCGGAAAGCACTATTCGCCAAAACACGAGGTTTCCTTGCGTCTGCCAAATGAAAAGTGACCACCAAGTCCGAAAACGCGCACAGCACCACAACGGGAGCGCAGTTGAGGAACGAGCACTATCCTTTTGGCACGAGCTTTTGGCACGAGCACCTATGCCTGGGGGCCAAAGGTTGCAAGGCCGCTCCTTCAATCCGCGAATGTCACGTCTTTCGTTCAGAAACGTCCTTTGTTTGAAGGTTCCAAAGCCGAAACATCCTTTCTCGAAAACCACCAGGGAACACCACCGGTTTGTCCGTCCAAATGTATGTTTTTGCCATGCCATCCACGCAACCATGATGATTTGACGGAGTGTACACCTTGAAAATGG